TATTTAAATCGCTTGGTTGCCTCGACTAACGTTTCATGCTTATCTTTTTTTCGCTGTCCTTGCCTACGTTCGGCAAACTACATAGGCGGGCGCTAGGCTCGAAAACGTAGTCCCTGACTCTACGAGTGTCAGGTTTAGATTCCTCGCGAACTGACACTTGTGGAGAATATACTGTATACAGCTGCTCGAAATCGCACAAATAATGACGAAAATCGTTAGTATCCTGAATGTGTAAGGTAAAGTTGCCTACTATGAGACCTCTTCTTAATATGAAATCCCAGCTTATCTCCATTGCAGAACTCTCGAATGTCCTACTGTCTTGTTTCGTAATTAACCGTGTTAATTATCAAATTGAATATCAAATTTTGTTTAAATCAATTAAGCGTCTTGAGCAAGCATATTTGTGAAATACGTTGCACGCAGAAAGTTTTTGAAGTGATTCAATTAAACTGCAAATACATTCAAAATAGTAAGTGTATAATCATTTCCATGAATACTGTTGTATAGTGCATGCAATGGAGTTTAAGGGGGTCTTCTAGTGTGACGGCCGTTTTTGTAGGCCTTCTTTGCTTATTTATTACAGAAGTACGGTAACAGTTATTAACATGAGCTTTATTCCTATGTATTTACTTGTCCTTGAAGAATCATTACAAATTTTTTTTGTTTAAAAATAATTAAATATCGCTGCTGTGGAACACGTCAAACAGGAGCATGAAAAACAAAAGTTGGTCCATGGTTACCATGATTTGAGCTGTTCTGCTTATCAAAAATAAAAAAATCCAATTGATTCTTATTTAGTATGCATGTCGCTATGGTCTGTAGTAGAATAAAAGAAAAATATTGAAAATTAAAAAAATGGCGGCACTTTGAATACGAAGTATCGACTTTTTCGACTTTTTTTCGCCTTTCAGGTGCTCTAAAAATCAGAAAAATATATATTTTGGCATAATTCTACTACCGACCATAGCCACACATGTTCTAAAGACATGTGCAAAATTTGAGTTCGATTGGTTCTGTAGTTTTTGCCAGATCGTGGCAACCATTTCAGAAAACATGATTCCGAGAAAAACGCGTTTAAAATTTTGATTGCAATTTAGATTCTCCCTTGTTGTGTCACCCCAAAGGAGCTGTAACTTCGTTATTTTATTGAATACAACTGTAAAACTTCAGGAGTACATTCTTAAAGAGTTGTACTTTCGATATATGCAAAAAAATAAAAATCTATTTTTTCAAACCGTCACACTAGAAGACCCCCTTAAGGCTTACTAGTTGCGTATCGTTAAGTAATGAAGACTTAAACTCGAAGCTACTTAATAGTTCTGTTATTGTTTCCGGGTACGAGACCCTCGAAAGTTCCTATTGTAAGAAGGGTCTCATATTAGGTACCCAATTCTAGTTTACTGAATAAAGCGTTATCGGTGGACCCATGAAGACTGCGGTGCTGAAGAAATAGATTTTATATGCCCAATGTGTGAAAAAAGACAGAAAAAATAAGTTTCAGAAACAAACAAACTGGGTCTCATATTAGGAAATCATTTTTGAAATCTACGGAAGCGAATTTTTTTAAAATTTTAATAAAAGAAAGAATTTTAATAAAAGTATTCTCAGTCGAGAGTTGCGACTTTTTTAAAGAAACGTGTCTCACATTAGGCGACTTTGCCCTTACGTGTTGAATTCGATAATTCGTAAAATATTTAATCCGTATTGAGAAATAAACATGTACATGTATACCTTGGAGTATTATCGATGCTTTATAACTGTAGAAAATGTTAGCAACGCGTATACAGAACATAAAGGAACCTGTTTAAAAGAATAGAAACGTACCGCCTTAATAATATTAACGATCGTGCTTCTCGTAAAAAAAAAGTAAAAGTAGAAATGCCATCGATATCTAGCTTTCTTAGAACTTCGTCCATTTCGTCCATTTCCATTTATCCACGACAGCTGCCATGGTCACGCATGCGTTTCTCCTTCTACGTGGCGTATTATATTAATTTCATTCGTTTTTTATTGTTTCAGAGTCCTTGCAATTGTTGTCGCATCTTGGTGAGTGGCCTTCTATTAATGGGTTATCAAAAGTTTTATTATTAAACCAATTTTAGTGCGACTGTTTCAGAGAAAATACTACTCAGAGATACGTAGTGTGATCCACGTTACTATTTTATCATCAGTCGGTTCAAACTTAAAAGCAATAGAAATTTCCAACGGAAATAATAAACTTTGATTGT